TGATTTTATATCCTGCTACCTTGCTAAACTGATTGTGGGTTTTGATTAGTTTCTCTGTGGAGGTTTTAGGGTTTTCCATGTAGATTAACATATCACCTGCAAGTAAGGACAGTTTTACTACTTCTTTCGCTATTTGGAATCCTTGTATGTCTTTTTAGGATGGTCTTTAAATGTAGCTAAAGTCCCAGCTCAAGTAACAATTTCATGTCTCCCACTGTAAAAGTCAAGGAAATTATTTTTATTCTTCTCCCACTTTTCCCAGTTGGCATGAATTCATATATTCCCCAAAGCTACACTAGAAATAATCAGAAAACATTTTCCCCCTGGGAAAGATTAAGTAAAAAGATTCAGAGCTGTCAGAGGTGAATATATGCAGATAAATTATAGCTGTAAAAAAAAAGTAGAAAATTAACATTTTACTAAGTATTTTTTATATGCCAAGCAATGTGCCAGAAGTCTTGTATATGTTATATTTGATGACACATACTAATTTGATTAATCTTTGCAATATTCTTTTTTCCCCCAACTTACACAAGGGAAAAGAAAGTAAATACAAAAACACATTATAGCACTGTTCATTCAACTTTTAGCCCAAGAAGAACAAGTAAAAACACACATAAAAAGAGGATACTTACTAAGCAACTCTATATTAACACTTTTCAAAACTAACAGGCCAAATACAAGTGGCTGCTACCAGATAGTCTAATGACTTTACCAACTTAGACATTCTGCTTTTAGAGCCTTTGTTGGAAATCTGATCTTGCTTGTGCTTCCTCTTGTACAGCCCTTAAGAGTTTTAGACATTGAGAATGGGTCTGGCTTATGTTGTTGAGTCAGAATTCCTGAAGAAGTGCAAAATTGGAGGAATAAACCAACCTCGATGGCACCTGTGAGTCTGCTTTATGCTGAGTCTCACATATTCTAAGCCTGCTGTCATCTGGTGACCCGCCTTGCCCTCTGCTCTACCATCTCTTACCCTGGAAATACTTCTTTGCTTTCAAGACTATCATTTCCTCTCCCTCCTAGAAAAAACCAACAGTATCAATGCAGGGCAGTGTTCTTCCATGTGTGTCCCATGTACCTACATCAGAACCCTTTGGATAGATCCCGAGTTCACTGGAAACCTACTAACTCAGAATCTCTCAGAGCAGGGTCTATTTTTATAAGAGATCTTCATAATTTTTATACACATTCAAAATTATACTACTGTCCTTGGCAGGAATAGCTTAATATAGTTTTCTTGGAGTATAAAAGGGTTTTAACCAATATTTAAAAATAAAAAAATTTTAAAGTTAAAGAAATTATACAGTGAATAGTATAATTCAGTTTGGAAACATTCAAAAGAAAGATACTATGTTCTCCATGGTGACATTATCTATTTCTTATTTCTTCCCATCATAATAATAATAATAATGAACTGGCAAATCACAGAATATAGAACTTACCTTCAGGCTAGTGATCAAATTTCTTGATAAATCTAAGGATCGGAGGTTTTTGAAATTTCGGAAGGCATCACCAATGGAATGAATTTTTCCAGCATAAGACCCCTGCAATGAAAGAGACTCCACCAGTTCTGAAAAGAGATCATCAGTAGATATATTATGATCTCTGCTTGGATAAACAGCAGAGTCAGTGAAATAGGTCTTCTGTCCTCCCATATCCCATCTGTGAAAGGTCCTACATCCAAAGCTCATTAGATCAGATCTTCCTTTTCAAAACAGCAACATGGTCTAAAACACTGATACCAGACCCTACAGAACGCTTTCCTTCTCTAATTATATTAAAAGATGTAGAGAAAGTCTTTAAATGTTCTCAAAGCAATAGTAATCCTCCAAAAATTATCAGAACAAAGTTAGCAATCCCATTGCTAGGATTTTAGTGTTGTAGACAGAGCCACGTGTCACTTAATGACACGATGCATGTTGAAAGGCATTAACTGATTTTTCATTATGAGAATATACCAGTATAATTACACAAACCTAGATGGCAGACCTTTCTACACACTTAGGCTATGTCATTAGCCTCTCAGGACCACTGTCAAGCATGTGATTTAACACTGACCTAAACGTTGGTAAGTAACACAAAATTGTAATATAAAATTTTGCCAGGATATGTAATACACAAGGGTGTCATAGGCAGAAAGATTTTAGGATAGCAAAATAGATAGTAAAATTGAAGAGCCTATCAGTAGTAGTATGAAACTAGATGGCTTACTGTTCATTGATACAGTAGACAATGTACTATATCTGTGACCTTGTACAAATCACTTTACCCCTCCAGTACCAGTTTCCTCTTCTATAAAATGGGGACAATAACACTAACTCATAAGTATATATACAAAACTTACAACAGTGTCTGACCTTTAGTAAATGCCACACATGCATTAACTATTGTTACGCATCTATCGAAAAGCATGAGGTAGATCTGTACATGTCCACATTGAGAAATTGACATGGAGATATTAAATGACTGCATAAAAAATGGGAAGGAAAAAATATCAAAGGAAATGAATGGGTGTATATAAAGATGTGTATATATGTAAATATGCATGTATGTATATACTGATCTCTCTCAAAGTCAATTTGTCTATTCTTATTCAGTCTTCTAACATGACAGAAAAGAGCAAAATCTCAAAATACTTGCCAATAGGAACTCACTGACAAGTTGTTGGAGAAACTGAGAATAGCAACAAAAACTTGAAAGAGATTCTTCAGGATCCAATTTGCTGGTGAGTGCCAGTGAACAGCACTGAAATAAGGTCTTATTGTGCTGAAGCAGAATGGACCCGAGAGACTCTAAAATGTAGTAACATTTAAGATCCTTTTCAAGACAATACTCTTACCAGGGATAAATTGGTGGGAGTAGATTCACAATGACTGTAACAGGGAGAACAAGTTCAAAGCAAAGATAAGGTCCAGATACAAGAGAAAGGAAGCAGAGAAGGCAGACCTCAGGAAGCATAAACCCAAGTTTCAGTACTTTGTGAACCTAACAGAAGAGGGAGCTCCAAAACCTTGAAACTGGAAAAGCTATTCAGGTTCTCCCTTTCATCTAGAAGTAGAGGAAAATTTAATCCACTTCAACAAAGAGACACAAAAAAGTGTTAAACTTTATGCGAGGTTATTAAAAAGAAAACAAGTGAAATTATACTGTAACACTTCAAAACAAGCTGAAAGGTAACATAACAAAAAGTAGCAATTCACCCAGGCCCTGAAGGTTTTTGAGACATGTATAAGGGCCCATAAAATCAAAACAAATTTTTGGAATTATTTTAATAACATTAAAACACTTTAGATTTTCCACTGTGATTTTCCATTTGTACCCTTATGGCACAAAGGGGCCTTCAGGTGAAATCAAGACAGTGGTACCAAATTGCACCGGTAGTTATTGTATTCTTCATAATGTACACTTCCAGTTTTCAAAAAGCCAGTTTCAATTACAAATGCCCTGGAATAAACAGTTAAAATATAACAATGGTTAATTTCATTAACCCTTCATTTTACTGACCCTTCAGTACATGACATTTTTTTATATTGTGTGACTGAAGTACTCTGCTGCAAACTTAGGTGCCCTGAGGAAAAACCTGTGATTTTAGAGATGTGGATTGAACCAGACACTTTTCTGTGTAATACCATTTTTACTTGAAAACAAACACCTAACATCCTATAGTTATTTGGACTTAAAAATCTGGTAGACATTTTCTTAAAAATAAATAAAGCTAGCTGGTCACTTCAGGAAAATGGCTATTAGTAACTGTTGTTGATTTAAGCTTCCAAGAAAAACTAGAGATTTTAGAAATCAAATCATGATTGTATAAAGGATCCACTTAAGTGCAAAATATACCAATAGATTTTAATGTTACAGAGGACCAAAAGTTCATTGATATAGTTTCAGATTCCACATACAACTGCACTCTAAGAAACTATCATTTGCCCAGTTGTTATGTCATATCTAAGAACAATATCCACAATTCTCAAAAAGGTTATTAAAATATCCCTTTTCAACTAAATGTCTGTATGAGACCAGAATTTTTTTTAAATGTGCAAGTTTTTTTTTTTAAGATTTATTTATTTATTCATGCAGAACTGGGGTACAGGCCAGAGATGCAGGGGTGGTGAGAGGATTCACCAGAGACAGAGTGGGGAGCAGAACAGGCCGACCAACTAAGCACACTGCTCACGGGAGCAGCAGGCAGGTCAGGAGAGGTCTGCCAGGTGGTCACCTCCAGGGCAGGGATGGAG